TCCGAAGTTCCTAACAAAGCCTCTTTGAGATACGAAACTTTTAGGATGTAAATTCTTTTACATCGATAGTATGTAAAACATGCATTTTTTAAAAAGCTTTGTATTTCAAAGATATTTTATTAACAACTTCGGAATTTTTTTATGGAAGCTAGTCTGGTCGTGTTCTCTATATGGGCAAAGTTTTTGATCAAAATTCGAATATAAGATTTTTTTCAAGAGCCGAGGTCTCGCACGGACATCTATAAAATAGACATATTGGAATTTTGATAACTCATCTAGATTTCACCGAGAATTCAAATCCTCTTACAGCTTTTACCAGTCACTATATATAGGGTTGTGCATAACCTTTTGCTAGGGGAAGCACTATCATTTCAAGTTGTATACCTGATGAGTTTTATACCAAACCAAAGCGCGTCGAAAACTGGATGTATTGCTACGAAATAGTAGGAGTTATAAAAACCTTCTAATGCTGAGCCTGCAAAATTTTCGAAACTCGTATGTTTTTTTTCCGCAGGAAATTAAGGCGTCAGCAATTCAGAAGTAGTGTAAAATGCTTTCTTTTGATATTTCTACATGACTTGATAGAGCTCGTCGAGCTCTACAAAACTGTATACCAAATTTTTTTTGAGCCGTTTTTCTTAGAAGAAAGATTTTAAAAATCACTTGCAAACTCTTAAAAAAAACTTTAATAAGTCGTTTTTTTATATGGAAGAAAAACATTCAATTTTCTGAAGAAAATTACCTATTTGCGTTGTTTTCTCTAATAAAGACACTTCAAAATATACTCCTTCAATGCAGTTTTTCATACTGCATCGAAAGTGAAAATTTTGAAGCGTGTGTATTACAGAAAATCGAGTGTTTTTCTTCCATAGAAAAAAACAGATTTTTTAAAGTTCTTTTTAAAGAGTTTGCAAATGATTTTTTAAATCTTTCGTCTAAGGGAAATGGCTCAAAAAAAAAATTAGTATACATAGTTTTCTAGAGATCGATGAGTTCTATCAAGCCATGTAGAAATATCAAAAGAAAGCATTTCATACTACTTTTGAATTGCTGATGCCTTAATTTCCTGCGGTAAAAAAAACATACGAGTTTTGAGAATTTTGCAGGCTCGGCATTAAAAGATTTTTATAACTCCTACTATTTCGTAGTAATACATCTACTTTTCGATGCACTTTAATTTGGTATAAAACTCATTAGGTATTCAACTTGAAGTGATAATGCTACTCCCCCCTAGCAAGAGGTTTTGCATAATCCTGTATGTTTTCCTAGTTTGTTGTCTAAAGTTCGTTTAATTAATTTGCTAGATGTGAAAAAAAGGTTTTTTATGAAAAAAGGAACAGCAAAAAAAGGCGTTTTTTACAGAAATTGCTAAAAAATAAACTTAGAGCTTCGACCAGAATACCGCTAATTCTTGAATGATTAATTCTGAACATCTGAACTTAGTGCAATTCTGTAGACCTTCTATTGACGGTTCTAATACACATTTGAACATTAAGATTTTACTGTAAACACCTTCCTGGATAGGTGTACGTTGAAAGAGATCTATTGAAAACATTAAAAAGTTGTGTCCAAACATCTCTAATTTACAGTTTGATGCGTCTTCATTTCCTCTTTCAAACGATGAAAATATCAGCTCTCTAACTAGCTTTTATCAAAAGTTATTCAGAAACTATTCGTTGAATAGTCATTCGTATATCAGGCCCATATGATGGAAAAATAGATCTTATTGAAATTTTATTACTATAATATTAGTTCAATTATGATAAAATAGTATTGAAAAATAGAGCATTCTTCTCTCTATCAAACTATATAGAAAGAAAGTTTCTTAAAACATTTTATAAGGGATTACAATAGCCGTCTCACTACTTTTTGACTACTCTATGTAATAATGTTGGCAATATTAAAGAGAAAATATAATACGTTAGTCCTTCGTAACATATTTCTGTTGTTTCTCGTTATTTTTTTATCAATAAACAAGAGGTAACAGACCAGCTCTCTTGTTTCAGTTGTTTCGATAATCCTCGGACGACACAACAGAGATAGCCTTCTGGTGTAAACTAGGTTTCTTCTCTGTTACAAAATAATGTGGTATTACTACACCTTCGTGATGGAGTGAAGACCCGAGGATATCGTATTCATCTTCAAGAAAGAGTATAGATCGAAAGAATACAATGGAGAGAGACTAAAAATGTCCTGAGAATTTGTAAAAGCCACTTGATTTGCAAAACAGATCCTTCTTAACCGGAAAATTAAGGGCGCAGGTATCTGGAATGTACCATATAACGTATACACGAAAAAATAGCTTGAGAATGGACCGGTGCACCGTTACCGTTGCAGCCCTATTCCTAACTTTAAGGAACGGAAGAAAAGCTTTAGAAAATTACTCAAATCGAATAGAATTTCTTCTGAAGGGTTGTAGGCTGTCGATCAAATTACCAAAAAGAAGTTCTACACATATACATACGCATAAATAATCACAATGTTACTTTTTCTGTATGCTCACTGCTTCTCTCTTTCCACTATCACATATACATTGACAGTTCGATTCTGGTTTGAATATGTTGATTTTTTTGCTGTTGCTATTGACATCTCATTGTTTGACATTGAAATACACATAGTCACATTTTGTTGTTAGAGTATGTATATGCGTGTGTGTGAGAGAGACAGAGAAAGAGAAACTGAATGCAAAAAATCCATTAATGATTTTTGTCCACAGGGAGCATTAACATTTCGTACTTGAAAAATTGTATAATGACATTCACCATTACTGTTGAATCCCATCCACACCCATAGAGCAATAGAGAGTAAGGGTGTGGGTGTGGGTGTGGGTGTGGGTGTGGGTGTGGGTGTGGGTGTGGGTGTGGGTGTGGGTTTATTCAATACTAATGTTGAATGCCATTATACAATGTTCCAAGTGTCAAACGTTAATGTTCCTGATGGGGAAAATTCACTAATGGATCTTTTACATTCAGTTTTTCTTTCTCTGTCTTTCACACTCACATACATACTCAAACAATACAATTTGACCATGTATATTTCAATGTCAAACAGCGAGATGTCAAATACAACAGCAAAAAATCAACATATTCAAATTAGAAGCGAACTGTTAGCATATGTGTGATTATGAAAAGAGATAAATAGTGAGCATACCTAAAAAGCAATATTGTGATTATTTATATGTATGAGTGCTTCCACGCAGGTTCACCCACTTTATATCAACTTTCTACTGACAAGATTTCACTATGCTAGTTTTGCAGTCCTCGTC